TGTTTCTGCTGCGAATGCTGGACTGTGGGGCTGGGAAGGGGGCGGGAATAGCGGCGGGGCTGGCGGTGGCCAGTGGTGGCAGGCTGGGTCGCCTCCTCTTCCTCCAACAGCACTGCTGGATCCAGTTGTAGCCACCTGCAAAGGACTTCCACACGTTTCCTTTACAGAAATCTCTGCGCGGCAGATAGAAACTGCTGCGCGGGGTTTTCTTGCAATGTTCGCGGCCGCGCAGCCGCGCACATTAGAGGGAACAGTGGATAGGAGAAGGGTGGACACCTTTGAACTATGTTGCTGGAGGCAACTATTATGCATCCCACAGAGTGCAAAAATAACAAATAAAGAACTGCTAGACCAAACTTCATCAAAAATATCACTTGAAGTCAAGATCTCCAAACAGAAGCTGTCATACATTGTTCATGTCATGCAAACTGACTCACTCAAAAAGTTAATGATGCTGGGAGCGATCAACGGAAAAAGGAGAAGAGACTATCCTAATATCTGTTGGCTGGACAGTATATAAAGGATGACATCAGAATGACCATGGCAGATCTGAAGGAAGCAGTGCAAGGCAGAGGGGCATGGAAAGTGTTGATCCTTAGAGGACCGGGCATGACTGAATGGCTGACAACAGCATCCATCTTGTCAGAATTTAAAAGGTGGAGTAAGAAGGCCCTGAGAGGTTACAGACCAGTTAGTTTTATATCTATACTGGGCAAGTTTTTAGAACAATTTATCAAAAATTGTCTCTGTGAACACTTAGGGAGGGGAAACAGTACCATTACCAAAAGCCAGCATCAGTTTCAGAGGAACAAGTTCTATTCAAGTACACCTTTATCTTCTTATGACAGAGAAATTAGTTTGGTAGATGAATGAGTTAGATGTAGTAAATTTACTTTACTTGATCTCAGTAAAGTAATCTCTTGATATAGCCTCTCTTTATCTTCATGGCCAAGATGAATATGTCTGACTTAGATAGTTCTGAAGTCAGACATATCAATCAAATGCAAAAAGTATAAATTAAATGATTCCACATCATCATGGAAATAAATATCATGGTTCTATCACTGTTCAGGTGCCATTGAGTTTCTTTATAAGTAGCCTTACAAAATTGGAAAATGTGCTTATCAAATTTGTGGCTAACACCAGGCTTGGAGGCAGGCTAATATGATATGATGTTATATGTTATAAGATGGGACATATCTGTTCTTGACTCAGACTGGAAGCTGGACAAAGACAAAAGAATGTAAATTAAAACTAAGGGTGAATATTAGGAAGAATTTCCCAATGATAAGAACTGTCGAGCACTAAGCAGAAGTTGAGCTAAATTGCTTTAAGGCCACATTAATTCTATGACCCTGTGAGTCTTTCTGATAATATTTATCTTCAAGGATGAATCTAGAGTAATATTTTCTGCAGCTGGAACAGCTGAGAAGGATTGTGAACTGAAATTAAATGTTTACATAAAGTACTCAAATAAAGATGCAGAATCCAATATGGGTCAATCACTGGGACCAGAGGTTTAATTTTCAGAGTTTTTGGTCTCAGTTTTTGGAGCCCATCCTTGGGGAACTTCTGTCTCACCAATCTGGAGGATGGGCTCCAGCACGAGTCCAAAAGTCCACGAAACATTCATCAAATAGAGATATTTATACTGTCATTTATAATATAAAGAAAAGTAAAAGTATGATAGCATACATGGGTCAGGCATGAACCAAAAATATTCTCCAAATGGGCCTTGGGAATACAGGAAGGAAGAGATAAAATATTTATCTTTTTATCTGAATAATTTTGTGTCCGATTCATGTCTAAAATGTATTAGATCCAAATAATATTGGCTATAAATGAAAAAAATCTTAGGTCAAAAACAGCATACTATAAAGGTACTATATTAGATGTAGCAAGTAATCATTATTATGTCTAGTTCAATATATATACATACATATAGACACAGATAGAACTGATTGTTAACTTGAAGGTCATTTCTAGAAGGTTTTTTTCCTAAGAAAGAAATAGCCTATCTGTCCAAATGTCCTCCTCAAAAATAGATAAATAAATAATAAAATTCTGAATTGGAAAAAGCTGATATTCTTTTTAAAAGGAATGAAAAAACTGAGAAATAACTGCAGCTTTTAGTTTAGTTCAACTGTCAGTTTTCCAAAGATTTCAGGGCTTAAAATGTTAAAAGTGCCAGATGCTATTATCTGTTATTTGTGTTGTCATTATGTTCTGGTCTTTGCAAAAATCAATATAAATGTCCATCTGTACATTAATGGAATTTCATTTGATTTCCCCCCTCCTCCTGAATGGGTAGGAATATGGAGGCTGGCAAGGATCCTAAGAACTATGTAACTCGGCTTCTCAAATAATGCTCACACATAGAGACAGCCTAACTAATCACTTAGAAACAGAATAGGGAGACGTTAATTAAACAAACAAACAAACAAACAACTCATACTTGTGGGAGACTTTTTGTTTACTTCATACTAGCTTCCTGGACCTTACCACTGTGTCTAATATACCTTTGTATTCAATAATGAGGTTTGCCTCTAGTTTTCTGCTTTTGAAGACAGATTGTACAAGCATACAGAAAAGGTCACATTAATAAACTTTTTTCCAATAGCTGTCTCTTATATTTGAGTAGATACAACACACTCTGAGTACAGACTTTAAGATGACAGATGATATAAGGTGATCATGACATTATTATTTGGTATTGAACTACTGCAGCATGGTGAACATGCTGATTACTTTTTCTGTCCAGATGGTATGGTTAGATTCATATCAGAGGTGGGTTGTTGCCGGTTCGGCTCAGATTAGGTGAATTGGTAGTAGCGATGGTGGGAGGCTCCACCCACCCAGACGCTTCTGCGGATACACAGAAGCTTCTGCACATGTGCACAATCATTGCACGCAAGTGAAAGTGCGCCTGAACCGGTGGTAAAAAAAATTGACAACCCACCCCAGGTTCATGTGACTTATTAAGCCATAGTTTGAGGAACAAATCATAGTGGCATTCAACATACAACACAGAAATTGAATGACCCTGGCTGCAATAATATATCTTGTTAAACCAAACCCAAATAAACCACATCATGGTTTATCACAAACCAAGAATCAGCTTATAAAATCTGGCATTCCTTTATTTTGACTAACTTCTGTTTGGAGAAGCATAAAAATAGGTTTATAATTGCGAATAATTTGCACAATTTCCCCAAGACCTAACAATCTGTTTCAATGAGTACATAATGACTACTCATAAAAAAGTAAAATTTCTATACATTTTCCCACTACATTTATAAAGATTTGTGTGAAATAGCACTAAACTAAAAACTGTTGGTTTTTTTTAACAGTTTCTATTTACTCTGAGTTAGCTGAGTGGGTTAGGTAACTGAAACTGTGGTGTCCACAGATTTTGGGTGGCATCAGGTTGGGGAGAAATGGATTAAAAGATAGCAGTTCTTCAAAATAACAGTCTCTTCTATTATTTCAGAAAGATCCTGCAATCTGTCCTGAAACACTGGAGGAAAAGAAATCTTCGGACATCTCGGAACCTAGTCCAAAACTCAAGGTCCATTCAAGAGATCTCAAAAAGGAACTGATCATGTGAGTAGATAGATAGATAGATAGATAGATAGATAGATAGATAGATAGATAGATAGACAGACAGACA